CTTTGCCTCTGGGGGTCGAGTCGCTGAGTTTTCTTGCTCCTTCGGTTTTAGCGTTTTGGTTGTTTGGTGGCAGCAGTCTCCATCTTTTCTGGCGCAGGGTGGGGCTGCTGCATTCTGGAGGGGTCCTGGGTTTGTTGGTGCTTCGTTGGTCGGGCCGGGGGTGTGTCATTTGTGTTCAGTGGCGGCCCTCCGCTGTTGTTTGCGTGCCACGGTGTTTGGGTCCGGAGCGCGTTTTGCGTTGCTCCGGTTCTGTTCTTCCCAGTTCGCGGGTGATAGTGTCCCGGGTGGTCAGCCGTGTTCTTGCGGTTAAGCTGCCTGTGTTCTTTCCTCATGCCTGTGGCGTTCATGGCTTCGCTGCTCTTGCTGCCGTCTGGGCGATGTGGCCTTGCGGTCTTTCGGGCATGGATTTTTGGTGTTCGTGCAGGGGCCTTGCTGCTCGTGGTTCTCGTGTTGTTCTCGGGATTTTTGGGGCTGTGGCACCTTGGGTTGGCGTTTGCTGCCGGTTGTCTCGCCTCCTTGGGGGTGCGTGGTGTCCGCCTCCCGGTTCGGTCCCTTTGACCTTCCTCTGTGGGTAGTTAGCTCCGGGGAGCCAAAGGGGCTCCCCCCAGAAAACCAGCGTTGAATGTAATGAAACGCCATTTTCTGGGTGAGACCCGGAGGCTCCCCGGCAACCCTCCCTCCCTCCGGTCGGCGTTTTTCGCGTGTTTTGACATCCAGCCTCAGAACTGATGGGTGGATAGCCGGCGTGGGAGGTCTGGGGCTCCCCCTTCCCCCTCCCGGGGAGGGGGGAGCTGCGCAGACAGCGGCGCGGTGACGTATGACGTCATACTAGTTTCCTTGTTTTCTGTTGAACAGTTCTATCCACTAGTTCGGCTTTAGGTAGCAATTTTCACCAGAATAGGGGTTTGTTTTGGAATGCTTACCTTTCTGGATGCTTGACCCGGTCGATGGCAGACATAGAATGCTTCCAACCACACGGGGGTTTCTATAGGCCATTGCTCCCCTTGCCTCTCTGAGGGAGCCAGGTTCTGGCTCGTGGTCCCCGGTAGGCCCTAGAACTCCATACACATGACTGATGCCAAAGTCTGACATTAGCATATCAGCCGGTAAAGCTCCGGGGAGCCTCCGGGTCTCACCCAGAAAATGGTGTTTCATTACATTCAACGCTGGTTTTTTTCTTTTTGCCTTGTGGGGGGTTCTGCCTTGCTTCCCATCTTGTGCCAGACATGTGCACAGCTCTTTTTTTTTGGTGGAGCCCCCAAAGCTGAAGCTCTCACACCCAGGAATGTTGGCTACGATTTTTTTCTAGGTGCTGTCTCTCAACTGTCGGTCATGGCTGCACTATAGCTGCCCCTATCCCACGCGGGGCGTTTAAATTATGGCACTAGACACTAAAACAGCTATTAATGTATTGCGCGGTTTCAGTTTTGTTACTGAAATCATATATATATATATATATATATATATATATATATATATATATATATATATATATATATATATATATATATATATATATATATATATATATTGCGTGGTTTAAGGGTTAAACCATGGGTTTCTCATCTGCATTAACTTTTTTTCCTTTTGGATTGGGACGAACTTATCTACTGCCTCCTTACATTTCTGTTTGATGTAGTCTATCACGTCTTGGACCATTTTTCCTCTGAGCTCTGTTTCCCAAGTAATATCTGCTAGGAATTTTCTTATCTCCTCGGAGTTTCCATTTTGGAATGCTTTTGTTTTTGGGGCCTTCCTTGAGTGCCTTAACCCTATTTTGACCGTAACGAAACACCGCATTCGTTATGATTCCCGAGAGTTTTGTTTCCCTGAGTTCAATTACATCCAGGTTCCCTTCTTGTGCTTTTTTCCCCAAGTTCACTTGCCTTGCTTGTAATCCCGTCTACGTTCGAGTTCATTACCTTGAAACTGACTTTCTTCTGTCCATTTTCAGTTTGTGTTGATTTCACTGGAGTAGGGGGACAAGTGGTGATGTCTGGGTGGAAGGGCCTAGGAAGAAGGATCTGGGGTGTGAGGGGGGCTTAGACGATCTGGTATGGGGAAGTTAGGTGGGTCTGGGGTGGTGTAGCTGAGAGGGTCTAGGGTTGGGGTCAATTAGGGCATGGGATGGGGAATCTGGGGTGGGTGGGGGACTTAGGTCATTGGTTGGGGAATGAAGGGGAGCCTGGGTTTGAGGGGGGATGGGGGGGTCAGGGAGAGGGGCGTGTGGGGTTGGAAAGAGAGCTTGGGTGGGGGAACTGGAAAGAGCATGGGCTGGAGAAACAGGGGAAGGTATGGGGCATGGGAACAGGAAGGGCCTGTGGTGGGGGAAGGAGGAGGGCATTGGAGGAAACTTGGGGGGGGGGGAGCCATGGGTTTGGGAGCACGGGTGTATAGTCTGGAGAGGGTCTCTAATAATTGGGGAGGTGCAGGGTTTTTTTTCTGGGGGAACCCCGTCGGCTCCTCGGAGCTATCCGGGCTGATATGAATGTATTAGACCCCTGGCATCAGTCAAGTGCATGGAGTTTTAGGCCTACCGGGGACCACGAGCCAGAACCTGGTCCCCCTCAGTGAGGCAGGAGGAGCAATGTTGGAAGCATTCAGTCCCTGGGAGGGGAATGGAGAGCCTCAGACCCTCACGCCGACTATCCACCCTGCAGTTCTTTGGCTGATGTGATACTGGCAGGGTCATGTTCATCTGGTTCCAGCATATTTCGGTTCTGTGCCTTGTGGTATGGGGCTATCTCCTCAGGTGTTGTGCAAGCCAGGAGTAATTTCTTCTGTACACAGGCTGCATGCTCCTAGGATTACCTTCCCTAGGTCCCCTGTAAGTACTGCCCTTGGGGGCTTGGGGTTATCTTCCACAAGGGGCTTGAGGTAGGGGTTACCTACGTTACCTTCTTTCTCCTTGGGATCTATCGCCACTGTATCTTTTGCTGCTCGGTGATTGACTGCCATTGGAGTCAGCTGGGGGGGTTGTTGCTTACCTGTTTGTTCATACTCCAATTCACATAGTCCACTGATCATGATATACAGGTGCAGGAAGCTTCAGCATTGCATGCTCGATTTAGGTTGCTGTAACACACTAGGTTTCTTGCTAAACCGGATGCCCCGAGACTGCCCCGTTTTGGTTTTAGGGACCCCGGACTTGGGGGGTGTTAGTCGCCTCGACTTTGGTTTCGTCCGTGTCCGCTTATCCTTCCTCTTCTGTTGTTCATCCTGGTCATCACCTGGGCCAGGGTTTAGTTGGCTTTGGGACTCAGGCGGTTAAGGGGGATGCCCCTTCCAGGGTGGCATCGGAGGCATTCGAGCCTGGTCCTCCAGCCGTAGCTTCTGGGTCTGACCAGTGGGCCTCCTTTGTTCCTGCTTTTTCTTTTGAGGCAGAGGTTTGGAGGACAGCTCAACCCTGGGCCCTTGTGGTGGGAACCCCACCACGAGGTTCCAACTATCTCTTCCCCGGAAAGGTCGTGCCAGGGCTCAGGGTTCCTCCCGTCGCAGTAGGCCAGTGGTGCCAGTTTCGGAGCTGGTGCAGCATTCAGAACCGTACTCGTCTGGTCGGTGCGGTGCTTGCTCTGTGTGGAGTTTGGGTTCTCATAAGGGGCACCGGTCCTTACGCGGTTCATCCCATTGACAGGGCTCTTTTTGCTCAAGACTGGTCCTACGATTTGTGGGCCTTTCGGGTCGTTTCGTGCGGCCGGTTGTGGCATTGGGTGGCCCCACCTCCTCCAGGGGGTTCGGGGTTGATGGGAGGCAGGGCTCTTCTCCTCCGCTCTGTCGCATCATAAGAACATAAGAACAAGGGTAACTGCAGAAGGCCTATTGGCCCATACAAGGCAGCTCCTATCTATAACCACCCAATCCCACTCATATACTTGTCCAACCCGCGCTTGAAACAATCGAGGGACTCATCTCGGAGTGAGTTCACTTGGGAGTGGTAGAGACGACCTCGTCCCTCCAGTGGGTTTCCCAGCTCTTTCCAGTTCCGAAACAGGACTGCGCGGTCCTCAGGTTCATTCTGGACTTGTCCTGTCTGAACCCATAGGTTTACTGCCCCTCCTTTCAGATGACTACTCTGTCCCTGGTTCGTCCTCTGTTGGAGCCGGGCGCTTGAATGGTGTCCCTAGACCACAAGGACGCATATAGGCACATCCCAATTCATCCGGGGTTCAGGGACTGGCTCGGTTTTGTTGTGGGCGTCAGGGTTACTGCTATCGTTGCCTTCCATTAGGTTTGAATCTGGCACCTCGCGTTTTTACAGCCTGCCTGCCTGCCCCGCCCATACACCTACCCACCCCACCCACCTGCACACCCAGCCAGCCCACCCCGCCCATGCACCTACCCACCCCACCCACCTGCACACCCAGCCAGCCCACCCCGCCCATGCACCTACCCACCCCACCCACCTGCACACCCAGCCAGCCCACCCAGTCAGCCTGTTCACCTGTCAACCACCTACCCACCCATCCACTCTGCCTGGCCACCCCCCCTTCCCTGCCGGCAATCTACCCTGCCAACCTGCATGTTCACTCTGCCCATCCACTTATGCACCCACCCACCAGCTGGGTTGGATGGATTAGTCAACCACCAATCCATCCACCCACCCTGCCTGCCCACTAGCCAGCCAGTCCACCTGCCCACCCCCACCTGCCAGCCAGTTACCCATTCATTCATCCATCCATACAGCCCACTTGCCTGTCCACCCACCCACCCACCCACCTACCAGCCAGTTAACTAGCCAGCCAGCCAGCCAACCCATCATCCATCCTTTTGCTCCTCCAAATATCACTAAAAAGTTATCAACATTTTAAAACCTCCAGTTTTTGCGAAGCCCTGGATTTAACAATTTGGGTACAGCCCCATATAGGTCATTAAATCAAGTGTATACTGTACTGTAATGAAAATCTTTGCTAGTCTATAGCTCCTGCAGTGTTGCTCTTGATGCCATTTGTAAAATCCATTGGTTTATTCAGAAAATACTGACTTATATTTTCCTTTTTCAGTGATGAAGCACAGTTCAGTGTTGAAGCCAAATTGGATACTCAACATTTCCTTTGGTCAGACAAGTATCGGCCTCGAAAACCTCGCTACTTCAACCGTGTCCACACAGGCTTTGAATGGAACAAATACAATCAGACTCACTATGATATGGACAATCCCCCACCCAAGATAGTACAAGGATACAAATTTAATATATTCTACCCAGATCTTATTGACAAATCCAAGACGCCACAATATGAACTCATCCCATGTGATGATAATAAAGACTTTGCTATTCTCAAGTTCACGGCAGGTCCTCCATATGAAGCCATTGCTTTTAAGATTGTAAACCGTGAGTGGGAGTATTCCTATAAGAGGGGTTTTAGGTGCCAGTTTCATAATAATATATTCCAATTGTGGTTCCACTTTAAGCGGTATCGTTACAGGAGGTAAATTTGCTCTGTAATTTATTTTGCATTCTTATTTTTATGTTTGTAGATTTATTGTTTTTAACTTGCTGCTTAGCAATCTTTATTGTTTAACCTTCGTGCTGCACGACTTTTATTGTGACATTCTGGTGGTGAGCAGAAAATAAAGTGTTCCCAACAAAAATGTTTTGCTTTGTAAACTGTTACAGTCCCTTCCTTGAACATGTACATGTAAACAAAAATATATAAAAATACTTACTTTGGCTGTGGAGATATGGAGAAGATTCGATGTGACGTCATTGAGATGTGTTCACCCGTGCAGGATGCTCCCAGAGGCAGTCGCATGGGCGATTCAAGACTCGCGAGTTAGCACAAATATATTTTCATTTATTTTTTCAATGCTTTCTACTTACTTTTTGTTATTGTATCTGATGCATATTTGTGTCCTTTACAATATGTATACAATAGAAGAACTGTGATACATGTGTCACTAATACGTCCACAAAAACGTTTGTCGCAATATTGCTTGTACAATATTCATTTTATTTACAATATGTACTCTCACACACTACACAGTCACACACTGTTGTGTAATTACACACCAGTTGTATTACACACCAGTTGTATTACACACCAGTTGTATTACACACCAGTTGGGACACACTGGAGCTGGAGGAGTCTGGAGTCACACTGCAGCAAGCTCCTGGAAATATCATATTACCTAAGTATTGGGAGCAGGTTGAGGGCTACAGTGGTGTCCCAGGTTACATAAAGGTTCAGGGAAGTGTAAAAGCAAATAAAATACAATAAACAAGTAAAGGTGAGGTAAAATAGTTGAGTTGGAAAAGTTTGCTTTGGTTCTAGAACAAAAACAAAGATGGCCGCTGCCACCACCACCACTGGGAATGTAGACACACCAACAGATGATTGTTTCAAAGGATTCTCACCACAAGATATAAGGAAAGGAGGTGTTCTTGGCAGGCTTGAGATAATTGAGGATATGCAAAAGAAGTATGAAGAAAAAGTGCTTAAACTAGAAGAGGACAATGGAGCTCTTAGGAGTGAGCTTTGCACTCTGAAAGGGAGTATTCTTCAGCAAGGTAAGATTATTACTGCATTAACGGACATGGTAACAAATCAGGAGGAGCAAATCAAAGAATTAGTGAAAGAAAATGAGGTGTGGAAAGTGAAGTGTGATGACTTTGAAGTAATAAACAAGAAAATAGACGCATATGGTGAACAACTCCAAGGGACCCTGAGAGCTAATATAGAGTTAGGCAAGGATCTCCAACTGGAAACTTCACTGACAACTCACATAGAGGAGGTTAATAAAAAACTAGAAAATTATAAAGAAGAAATAAAAAGAGACATATGCCCAAGTTGTAAAAGAGAAAGAGAGAATCAAGGAAGTGTGTTTGGAAGTCAAAACCAGAAATGACCAACAAGAAGCAGATCTTAGGCAAGCAATCAGGAAAGAGCTGGTAACCAACAGTAAACTGGTACAAAACACTGTAGATAGAAGTAAGTCTATAATAGTTTTTGGATGTGTAGAGAAGGAAATTGCATCTAGGGTGGACCGAGCAGCACAAGAGATGAAAATCATAGAAAAAATAGTAGGAATAGGAGAAGGCCTAAATTCAAAGGAGCATGTCAGTGATTTTAGGAGGATAGAAAAATATGAGAAAGACAAGAACTGCCTCTTAAGGGTGACGTTTAATGGAGTGAAATATATGACAGAAGTGCTTCGGAATACCAGAAAACTGCAATGTGATGAGGATGGCAAACTTTGGGCAATAAGACAAGACCTCTCAAAAGAGGACAGAGAAAAGCTGAAAATGAACCTCACCGAAGTGAATGGTCTAAATGGGGATAGAAATGAAGGAGAGGAATTCTTTTTTCTTCAAAGTGCCAGGGACTGGAAAGCTTGTGAAATGGTACATAAAGACAAAGCAACAAAATCATTAAAGGAAGGGAGTGTAAGGAATAAAGGGAAAGGGAATATATTCCTGAAAATAGTATATACCAATATAGATGGAGTGAGATAAAAAATATTGGAGTTGAAGGATATAATTCAGCTCAAAGTCCCAGATATTGTCTCATTAACAGAGACTAAACATGAAAATATTTTAAATGAGGTCATGTTCCCAAGGGGCTACTCAGTTTGGAGACGTGACAGGAAAACTAAGAAGGGGGGAGGAGTGGCTGTACTGGAGAAAGAACACCTGAAGGTAAGAGAATTAATGTTTGAAAACCCTAGAGATATTGACATAATGGCATTGCAGCTCTGTAATCAAGATGATAATGCTGATAATTTTAAATGCCTACAGCCCACCAGCAAGCAACACATGGACAAAGGAAGAACTGGATGACAAACGAGAGGGTCTCATAATGGTCATGAGAGAGATTATGGTAAGAGCTGACAAAGATAAATCCTGATTGTTGGTACTGGGGGACTTCTACTTTAAGGCAATAGACTGGGAGGCCTACGAGGCAAGAACAGAGGACATTTGGACAGCCAGATTTGTAAACCACATCTTGGAGACATTCATGTATCAACACGTCAAGCAGGCCACAAGAATGAGGGAAGGGTATGTTCCGTCAGTACTAGATCTAGTATTCACCAGGAAACAGGAGGAGGTATTTGACATCCAGTACCTTCCTTGGGAAAGAGTGATCACGTCCTCTTGGACATTAAATACGCTATGCGATATAATCTAGTAGAGAATGGGGACAGTGAAACAGTTGTTAAACTTGATTTCAAGAGAGGACGCTATGGGGAACTTAGAAAATTTTTTCATGGGTATAATTGGACACACTTGTTGGCAAGAAAGTGAATGAGATGTATGCCAAATTTTGCACAATATATGATGAAGGCACACAAACATTCATACCAAAACAGACATGCAGACCTGGGAAACAGGGTTGGTTCAACAGAAATTGCGAGAGGGCCAGAGATCAAAAGACAAAAGCATGGAATCATTATAGAAAGAGGCCAAACCCCCAAACATACCAGCGATACAAAGATGCAAGAAACAACTACACATCAGTAAGGAGAGAGGCAGAGAGGAACTTTGAGAATGGTATAGCAGACAAATGTAAATCAGATCCAGGCTTTTTCTATAAATTCATTAAAAGTAAGCTGCAGGTAAAGGATAATATTCAGAGGTTAAAAATGGGGGACAGATACACGGAAAATGAAAAAGAACTGTGTGAAACATTAAACAAAAAGTTCCAAAGTGTGTTTGTACAAAATGAGATCTTCAGAGAACCAGACACAATAAGAATTCCAGAGAACAACATAGAGCGTATAGAGGTGTCTTAGAGATGAAGTGGAAAATATGCTCAAGGAGCTCAGTAAGAACAAAGCAGCTGGTCCAGATGGAGTTTCACCATGGGTTCTGAGAGAATGTGCATCTGAGCTCAGCATTCCACTTCACCTGATCTTTCAGGCATCCCTGTGTACAGGAATCGTAGCAAACGTGTGGAAACAGGCTAACATAGTTCCAATCTACAAAAGTGGCAGCAGGGAAGACCCCCTCAATTATAGACCTGTATCATTGACAAGTGTAATAGTGAGAGTATTGGAAAAAATAATAAAAACTAAATGGGTAGAACACCTTGAGAGAAAGTTATTATATCAGACAGACAGTATGGTTTTCGATCTGGAAGAGCCTGTGTATCGAATTTACTCAGTTTCTATGATCGAGCAACAGATTTTACAGGTTGGGTTGACTGCATGAAAGAGATGGTTGGGTTGACTGCATCTATCTGGACCTAAAAAAGGCTTTCGACAGAGTACCACATAAGAGGTTGTTCTGGAAACTGGAAAATATTGGAGGGGAGACAGGTAAGCTTCTAACATGGATGAAAAATTTTCTGACTGATAGAAAAATGAGGGCAGTAATCAGAGGCAATGTATCTGACTGGAGAAACGTCACAAGTGGGGTACCACAGGGTTCAGTTCTTGCACCAGTGATGTTTATAGTTTACATAAATGATCTACCAGTTGGTATTCAAAATTATATGAACAAGTTTGCTGATGATGCTAAGATAATAGGAAAGATAAGAAACTTAGATGATTGTCATGCCCCTTCAAGATGACCTAGACAAAATAAGTATATGGAGCACCACTTGGCAAATGGAATTTAATGTTAATAAATGCCATGTTATGGAGTGTGGAATAGGAGACCATACACCCCACACAACCTATATATTATGTGAGAAATCTTTAAAGCATTCTGATAAAGAAAGAGATCTAGGGGTGGTTCTAGATAGAAAACTATCACCTGAGGACCACATAAAGAACGTTGTGCGAGGAGCCTATGCCACGCTTTCAAACTTCAGAATTGCTTTTAAATACATGGATGGCGATATACTAAAGAAATTGTTCACGACTTTTGTTAGGCCAAAGCTAGAATATGCAGCGGTTGTGTGGTGCCCATATCTTAAGAAGCACATCAACAAACTGGAAAAGGTGCAAAGACATGCTACTAAGTGGCTCCCAGAACTGAAGGGCAAGAGCTATGAGGAGAGGTTAGAGGCATTAAATATGCCAAAACTAGAAGACAGAAGAAAAGAGGTGATATGATCACTATGTACAAAATAGTAACAGGAATTGAGAAAATCGATAGGGAAGATTTCCTAAGACTTGGAACTTCAAGAACAAGAACTAGCTAAACTAGCTAAACACAGATGTCGAAGAAATATAAGAAAATTCACTTTCGCAAACAGAGTGGTAGACGGTTGGAACAAATTAGGCGAGAAGGTGGTGGAGGCCAAGACCGTCAGTAGTTGCAAGGCGTTATATGACAGAGTGTTGGGAAGACAGGACACCACGAGCGTTGCTCTCATCCTGTAACTACACTTAGGTAATTACACACAGTACTTCGGAAGTGAGTGAGTGATCAAAGAAGCAGTCCATGATACACAGCAACTTTGCACGCGATGCACCAAGTACCATCCATCTGTTGCCTTCAGATATGAATGGCCCACTCAGTGGTCCTGACAGCTGAGTGGACAGTGCTTTGGATTTGTAGTCCTGAGGTTCCGGGTCTGATCACTGGTGGAGGCAGAAACAAATGGGCAGAGTCTCTGTCACCCTGTTACCTAGCAGTAAATAGGTACCTTGGAGTTAGACAGCTGCTATGGGCTGCTTAAAACTAGGGCCGAGCGGACAGCACGCTG